AACATTTGCTGAAAATGTCAGCCCAGTGCGTGCTATATTTTTCGAGAAAAACATGATTACGATTTTTCCAGACAACCCTCGTATTTGTAAGGTAAAGTGGGTCTTTGCTCCATGTTTTTATTAACCAAATAATGTATATTTTTACGCAAACTTTGAGAATAAACTTTCAAAAAAAAAATGAAGCGAAAACCCACTCATATCGAAAAATTGTGTTATAATGTGAGAAAATGATCTTTTTTGTCCTGTTTAGTGTGTTTATGCTATTTCATAGGTAAATAATTTCAACCTTTGTGAGATTTTTGCAAATTTTGGAGATTAATTTCACATAGAGTATACTTTATGTTAGATGAAATATCAAAGAAAATTTTGTTATAATTGAGATTTATCTTTTCACCTTCGTGTTTGTCGCACTATAAGCACTTTCCTCGTCTTGTTCGCTCATCTTCTTTTACTACATTGTAATATGCAAAGTTAGCATGCATGCAGATTGTGTCTTTCGGATGTGTATGAGTAAATATTACATATTTGGTAATGGGTGATCCCTTACCTTGAAAAAACATAGTAAATCAAAGTTTTCTATAATTGTAAATCAAAATTCTACTATAATTGTAAATCAAAGTATTTTTATATGAATCTGAAATGGTAATATTTTTATCTCCAATTCCTACATGAAATGTCTTTAAATTAAAAAGAAGTTGCTCTCTTATTAACCACATATTATTTTCTAAATTTACATGAACTGTGTGTATAATTAAAGGGAAATTTCGGCTCTATATATCAAAAAAGTTTCGAATTAAGTATTAAAGTATTGTGGAGTTATTGCAGTCAATTTCATGCTAAATTCTTTAGACTAAATTTGATGCTTTGCCAAAAAATTGAATGCGAGAAATTGTTTCAAGACCCTTAAATAGCTTAAGGCAGGTCGCGGGTTTAAAAATTCGCGCCTTCTGCGCATGATGACGCGCATAAGTCGTAAAACAAAAGCTAAGTTGAAAATAATTCTTAAGCAGTCTTAAATGGTCACTCGTATTAAAATAATGAAAAAAACAATACTTTTAGGAGTTTTCAGTGAATAAGATTCATTAAAATATAATCAGAAATATAAATGTATGCACTTCCGGTTTTTCGGTAAACACCTTCATTTTCACCGTGTTCAATCAGAAACCCGGGATCTCAACATTAGTTCAGGGTGTTTCGCTTTCATGAAATGTCAGAGATGGTGAACAAAATAATAAGGTTATCATTTCTATGTACATTTTAGCGATTCATTCACGTTCAACAACTTATGTAATGTGCTGCATTTTCAGTGTTTACAAAATGAATGACAAGGTAAGCACAACAATCTTGTGTGTTAACGATTATTGTAGGTATATTCAGGGCTTAGCTTGACTTAAAATTCTATAGTGAGGCAAAGCTATTGCGGCCGGGGTGTGGGGAGCACCTTAGGCCCCCAGTAGGTCCAGGGAGGAGCTATGAAGGGGGGTTCAGGGGGCGAAGCCACCCGAAGAAAAATGCATTGTTCTTTTATAGGGTTTTAGGCCTAAAATGTAAAAATCATACTTGTCTTGGACAGAAATTTCGTAAGGTTTACCAGTTTCAATATTTAAACCTCAGTTTGCATTTAATCATAGGATGTAGCATTTTTTTTTTAAAAAAAGGTTTAATATATTAAATAAAAAATGTTTTTTTCAACATGTTCCAACTTCTAACACATTTAAGAAATAAAATATCATTTTTAGGTCACCTGAGTAAACTCAGGTGACCTATTGCTATCCGTTTTCGTCCGTCGTCGTACGTCGTTCGTAAACTTTTGAACATTTTTAGCTTCTTCTCTGGAACCGCTCAACCAATTTCAACCAAATTCGGCATATAGTATCTATGGGTAAAGGGGAACAAAAATTGTGAATTTCATGGTCCCTGCCCCCCTGGGGCCTGAGGGGTGGGGCTAAAACCACCAAAATTAATGCAATCTTTAAAAATCTTCTTCTTTACTCCTGGACATCAAGCAGTCAAACTGTTGGCATCATTGTAATGAGCATTGAGTCCTCTACCAAAATTGTGAAATTCATGGCCCCAGGGTCAGGGGTTCTGGTGCTAGGGCGGGCTATATAGATCATATAGTGAAAGTGCATTATTTCTTTGAAAATCTTCTTCTCTGCTCCTGGGTATTAAATAAACTAACTAAGTATATAGTTATGATGAGTAAGAGTGCCTCTTCTAAAATTGTGAAATTCATGGCCCCAGGGGCAGGGGTTCTGGTGTAAGGGCGGGGCTCTATTGATTATATAGTGAAAATGCATTAATTCTTTGAAA